GAATAGTAATGAGTACATTAACATTTCCATGCATCAGTCCTATACAAATATAGAAAATATGTACATTCAGCATGCATGAATTTGGCATTTGACTTTCTGACATAACTTTAATATTGAATAATCATGTATTGAGTGTCAAACATGATCAACATTTCTGGTGAGGTCTATTTCTGTACAGACATAAAAACAACAGCATAGGGTTGGTGGTCAAATTAAAAATCAACAAATCTTTTTTTAAAACCTGTTTGTTTATTTAAGGCTCACATTAAAAGAAGCATCAGACAATCAGTCTGGATGTTGTTCAGGACTGAAATTATTTAATAGATGGTTCTGCAAATTTCAATTTCATTCCACACTTGAGAGAATTCAAATAGTTAGTTTACATAATAACACCATAACAACTGAGTTTGATTCATCCAATACATAAACCAGTTTCACTTTTAAAACTGATTGACAGGGATGTAAATATCTTCATATTTTATACATTGATAAAGTCAAAACAAGGAACATGCATCAATGAATATAGATAGATAATTGTGCGTTTTAAAGAACAAAGAAGACTTTTGTTGTGATAATATTGCATATATATTGCTTTCCAATTAAAACAAAGGAAAAATGCTAAGCAATTATTTATACATACTACTTAGCAGTGCATAGCTTAATCAATATACAGGCAGTCAGGTTCAAGCACTCTCCGTGGTATTTTTGTAGCTGATAACATGAGGGGGGCTATTGATCAGTTAATGGCTATGTGGTTCCACCTATTGAAAGACTGTTGCAGCTTTATTGACTTACAATATCACCAAGAGACAAGCGCTTGTGCACAGTTGTCTAATGTTATTTATTTTTGAATAAAAGTAAAAAATTATAAAAGAACAAGGAGTGACATCAAAATGACTTTCTTCAAATCTTTTAATTCTCAAGCTGGGCTAAAGAATAGAAAACAATTGGCTGTTAGTGCTCAAATTTGGTGCCAACAAACCACATATCTTTCTAATTATAAAAGGTGCCCTGTGATTTAGAAATTACATTTTTTTGTTTTAATAAAAAATAAATGCTTTTATGTGTAATGCCTACTGATCCTTAGGAACAAAGAACTAATAAACGTTTTAGTTGGAATTTCAGGTTTTGACAACAAATAACTTAACATGGTTAGAGATCATTCTCAGCAAATCAAATACAGTAAACTATGTTTATAACAAACATGTTTATAACGAACTGACGATATAACAAACTTATTTTTTAGTCCCGGCCATTTGTTGCATATATGCTGTATACGCTTATAACAAACTACAGTTATTACAAACGAAAATTAGTGGTCCCTTTGAATTCTTTATAACCATAGTTTACTGTATATTTAACAATATTTAACAATTTAACAATAAGCCCTCATTAACGACTACATTACCGGTAGGAATAACTGTAACATGTCCTATGTGTCAAAACAAACAGGAAGCATTATTCATACAAGTTAATGTACAATCTGCCATCACATTGGCACAAACTTCAACAAGAAACATATGGACTTAGAACATGATTGTTCAGGAAGCTGCAATTTTGGAAAACATCAACAAAAACATAGATACAATTCCTGATTTATTTAGAACACATATTCATACCATCTGATTTGATGTACTAGAGTACTCAAAAGAAATTAAAGAACACCCTCATGCCGAAGACCCGGGTTCAATTTCCGACATGGGTACATTGTGTGAAGCCCATTTCTGGTGTCCCCCGCCGAGTTATTGCTGGAATATTGCTAAAAGCGGCATTAAACCATACTCACTCATTCACTCACTAAAGAACTGAAGAACATCCTGCAATATTTGTTGTTTAACGCCGCACTCAGCAATATTACAGCTATATGACGGCGGTCTATAAATAATCGAGTCTGGACCTGACAATCCAGCGATTAATTTCATGAGCATCATCCACGCAATTTGGATAGATGACATACATCAATTAAGTCAGCGAGCCTGACCATCTGATCCCGTTAGTTGCCTTTTACGGCAAGCATGGGTTGCTGAAGACCTATTCTGCCCCGGGGCTTCACGGGTCTAATGCCTCATGTACCAACCCAGATGTACATTATTGATAGAGACAAAACACTAGACCAAATTGCACATGGTAATAATGAAATAACATCAGTGACAAAAGCATGATTTTTGAATAACAAACAAGATGAACACTGTAACTTAACAGCAATGTTTCTAAGATGTAACTTTTTCATTATGATTTCAAAGAGTTCAACATTAAAAAGTTTTTAAAATTGTTGAAATCCAATGTCATCAAAACTGGCGACATTTTTTTATATTTAGTACATTCACCCAGAGGCTAATGAATGACATTAGTTGAGAAGTTGTAAATGGTAGCAGTAAGTATGATCTCCAGCATTCCTGATGATCAAACCAAGCAAATCGCCATTCTATTTGATATTAAAATAAATGCCCTTGACACATTCTCCACATAATCAGAACTAAACTCAAAAGCTTTACTAGCCCTGATAAAGATAAAATGCCCTTGTAATGCTAAAACAATGACTTTGTTGTTTAACGCCACACTCGGCAATATTCCAGCTACCGTATTCAACGTAATAAGCGCCCCGCTCTAATAAGCGCCCACGGCGATATTTGCTAATATATTGGCAAGTGAACAATCCCAATTAGCCCCCCTTCCGATTTATCAATGTACACAAGACTTATTTATTCGTGTATAATATGCACTCGTGTGTAACATGCATCCTTAATTATGGGCAATTAAATTCTGGAAAAATGTATCTGTCGTATATAAACAGTTCAGACTGTCAGCATAAACCACGAAATTTATCTTTCAACTGTGTTTTTTCCACCAAAGTGATATTCTAATAAGAGCCCCCTATTTCTAATTTTGAGAGCGCCCTTGGCGCTTATTACGTCAAATACGGTATATGACGGCGGTCTGAAACATTCTCCACAAAATCAGGGTTAGAACTCAACTCAAAAGCTTTACTAGCCAAGATAAAGATAAAATGCCCTTGTAATGCTAAAACAATGACTTTGTTGTTTTACGCGACACTCGGCAATATTCCAGCTATATGACGACAGTCTGACACATTCTTCACATAATCTGGGTTAGAACTAAACTCAAAAGCTTTTCTAGCCCAGATAAAGATAAAATGCTCTTGTAATGCTAAAACAATGACTTTGTTTGTAGTTTTACGCCACACTCAGCAATATTCCAGCTATATGATGGCGGTCACATAATCAGGGTTAGAACTCAACTCAAAAGCTTTACTAGCCCAGATAAAGATAAAATGCCCTTGTAATGCTAAAACAATGACTTTGTTGTTTTACGCGACACTCGGCAATATTCCAGCTATATGACGACAGTCTGACACATTCTTCACATAATCTGGGTTAGAACTAAACTCAAAAGCTTTTCTAGCCCAGATAAAGATAAAATGCCCTTGTAATGCTAAAACAAAGACTTTGTTTGTTGTTTTACGTCACACTCGGCAATATTCCAGCTATATGACGGCGGTCTGACACATTCTTCACATAATCAGGGTTAGAACTAAATTTAAAAGCTTTTCTAGCCCAGATAAAGATAAAATGCCCTTGAAATGCTAAAACAATGACTTTGTTTGTAGTTTTACGCCACACTCAGCAATATTCCAGCTATATGATGGCGGTCTGACACTTTCTTCACATAATCAGGGCAAGAACTCAACTCAAAAGCTTTTCTAGCCCAGATAAAGATAAAATGCCCTTGTAATGCTAAAACAATGACTTTCTTTGTTGTTTTATGCCACACTCGGCAATATTCCAGCTATATGACTGCGGTCTGACACATTCTCTACATAATCAGGGTTAGAACTAAATTCAAAAGCTTTTCTAGCCCAGATAAAGATAAAATGCCCTTGAAATGCTAAAACAATGACTGTGTTTGTAGTTTTACGCCACACTTGGCAATATTCCAGCTATATGATGGCGGTCTGACACATTCTTCACATAATCAGGGTTAGAACTAAACTCAAAAGCTTTTCTAGCCCAGATAAAGATAAAATGCCCTTGTAATGCTAAAACAAAGACTTTGTTTGTTGTTTTACGTCACACTCGGCAATATTCCAGCTATATGACTGCGGTCTGACACATTCTCTACATAATCAGGGTTAGAACTAAATTCAAAAGCTTTTCTAGCCCAGATAAAGATAAAATGCCCTTGAAATGCTAAAACAATGACTGTGTTTGTAGTTTTACGCCACACTTGGCAATATTCCAGCTATATGATGGCGGTCTGACACATTCTTCACATAATCAGGGTTAGAACTAAATTCAAAAGCTTTTCTAGCCCAGATAAAGATAAAATGCCCTTGTAATAATAAAACAATGACTTTGTTTGTTGTTTTACGCCACACTCGGCAATATTCCAGCTACACGTGTATATGACGGCGGTCTGACACATTCTCCACATAATCAGGGTTAGAACTAAATTCAAAAGCTTTTCTAGCCCAGATAAAGATAAAATGCTCTTGTAATGCTAAAACAATGACTTTGTTTGTAGTTTTACGCCACACTCAGCAATATTCCAGCTATATGATGGCGGTCACATAATCAGGGTTAGAACTATACTCAAAAGCTTTTCTAGCCCAGATAAAGATAAAATGCCCTGGTAATGCTAAAACAATGACTTTCTTTGTTGTTTTACGCCACACTCAGCAATATTCCAGCTATATGACGGCTGTCTGACACATTCTCTACATAATCAGGGTTAGAACTAAATTCAAAAGCTTTTCTAGCCCAGATAAAGATAAAATGCCCTTGTAATGCTAAAACAATGACTTTCTTTGTTGTTTTACGCCACACTCGACAATATTCCAGCTATATGACGGCGGTCTGACACATTCTCCACATAATCAGGGTTAGAACTAAATTCAAAAGCTTTTCTAGCCCAGATAAAGATAAAATGCCCTTGTAATGCTAAAACAATGACTTTGTTTGTTGTTTTACGTGATATCATGAGCATCGATCCACGCAATTGGGTTCAGTGACAAGCATCAACCAAGCCAGCAAGCCTGACCACCCAATCCCGTTAGTCACCTTTTATGACAAGCATAGTCACCTTTTTCGGCAAGCATGGGTCGCTATGACAAAGAGGAAATTGGGAAAGTTGTATTAGCCTGCTGGAATTTGTACTAACCCTCGGCTTGCGGGCATTCAGGTCTAACCCTGCATAAGCTCTGTTTCAGAAGTGATGTCACCATCTCTTTTTCCATATCACAAACAGATCACTTTCTCCTTTCTCATATCATTTCTCTCACTCCTCTGTGTAATTTGATTAGACTGCTACTTTTAATGATGTTCGGTTCAAAATGGACTGAATAGGAAGCCATGGTAGCAAAAGCATCCTGGGTAACTGTCAGAATTGAGACATAAGACACTGGAAAACAGAGGATGGATATACAGGTTATGTACTGTGATGAAATAAATAATCAAAATCACAAATGCCAGCACCATCTGACTTCAGATGAAGAACCTGATGTCTGCATGAACTGTAGCATGTGGTAAATGATTAAATATGTTACATATATGTTACATATGTTTATACAACCTACACAAGCAAGTGTACATTCACTCTCATCATCACACATTCAACTGGAAATTATTCATTTCACACAACAGTTAAAAAATGACTTTCTTCAAACTCAATGCTATTCATTCAAGCCCTAAATATATGTTCTGATACAATCTAGGCCCTCTTGCAATAATCTATTCTATCTCCTGCTATAGTATTCAATCTCATTAAAATCACATCTTTTACTCCAATGCGATAACCTTCTGCATGAACTTCTGAGGACACCGCCATAGGTCACGTCAAATGAACGATGCATGGTTCTAGAGCCAGTCAGATGTCTGAATTTTCTAAAACGATTCAGCTTTATTTCTTTGCCACCTCAATTTGGTCATTTTTGATATTCACAAATGATAACCATTACACAACACAAATATACCATCAACAGTACACCCTTCTGGTGTACATGTCATGGCACTGAGAAATGACATGGTGAATAGAATATCCACAACAATATCATTGTGCAGCTTTATTCTTTTACTGGGCGGTCGGGTAGCCTAGTGTTAAAAGCCTTCGCTTCGCTCGTCACGCTGAAGACCCGGGTTCGATTCCCGACATGGGTACAATGTGTGAAGCCCATTTCTGGTGTCCCCCGCCGTGATGTTGCTGGAATATTGCTAGAGGCGGCGGTAAACCATACTCACTCACTCACTTTATTCTTATATAATCTGAACTCCCCAATTATATTCCTTTTTAAGAGACAGAAATCAGACACGCTTAACTCTAAATGCTTTGCTCACTCACACCGAGAATTTAGAAGTTTCAAGACTGATTGGCTGTGTAAGTTCGCCTGACGTGACACGACGTCCTATGGAGGTCTTCACACAGAGAGGTATCATATCGGGAGTGAGTGAAGATTGCTTGCCGCATCAGCAATTTTGAAGCTATTCAGGCGAGTATCATATCGGAGTAAGACAAATCTGATCTAAATGAGATTGTATTGAATCAGAATTATGTCCACCTTAATGCTCAGTCAGTTTAAAGAGGGCCAAGGTTGTAAAAGAAATTTATCTTGTACAACAGAAACAAACAACAAACAAATGTGTACACATAGTTTTCATTACAGATTTAAACTGGCACTACATTTTATTTCACAGAGAGTTGTGTTGACTTTTAAAATGACTACTTAGATGCAGTTTGCTATCAATACAATATATGCAAGGAAATAAATTATGCCTTGAGATAAAGATAACAAACTTTAATCGTTCATTTAACAAAAATACATCACATTTGTATTGATCACAGTCTCAAATTTTGATTCCTTATATCACTTGCATAGTAATCATGACCTTCGTCGGTGATGCATATTTACAACAAACAGTGTTATGCCCGAATCCCATCATCATGTGCATCATCAGGGGTAGATAACTCTGCTTTCACTTCCTCTTTGTATAACGCCTGCTTCTCCGAGCTGGCAGCAAATTCTTCCAGTAGATCATGGCCCTCAACAACAATCATCTCTGTGGCTGATGGACCCTTTCCATTTACTGTGACTTCATCATCTGAAAGAACAGCAGGACCATCAGTGATGTACACAAGTTGGTTTGGTTTGGTATGTTTGTTGTTTAACGCCGCACTCAGCAATATTACAGCTATATGACGGCGGTCTATAAATCATTGAGTCTGGACCAGACAATCAAGTGATTGATATCATGAGCATCGATCCACATAATTGGGGTACGATGACATGCATCAACTAAGTCAGCAACCTGACCACCCAATCCCTGTTACGACAAGTGTAATCGCCTTTTACGGCATGCATGGGTAGCTGAAGACCTATTCTACCCCGGAACACGGATGTATACAAGTATTTCATTAAAGCTGAGTATTGCCTGGTTTCAGCGATACAATTACTAGGATGCTCAATTTCTAGCCAATATGTGAATTCTGCAGGAATTGAAATTGCTACTACCTGCTTCTCTGATTCATTGTGTTAAATCTTTGAGGTGTCCTCACATATTGTCCCTATTCAGGCTAGTAAATGTCTCATGTTAATTTCTACCAATAATTCCCTGCATAATATCCAAACTTTAGAATAGAAAATATCAATTTTTGCTGGTAGAGGTAAAGTCAGTCCGTCGTTGCAGGTACATTTTTACACGCAAATGCATTCACTTATTCAAAGGGTTTGATATGCAGTCACTTTACAGGTGTGACTTGCTAGACAAATGCATATAATTTGAAAAACAAATTGCATTTGGTTGTTTTAATTTTTGTTGAAGACAAGTCCCCAAATGTTCCAGTTATATGTTTTCTATACTCAAGACACTGAGCATGTTTTAACAAGGGGATGCAAACTGCACCCTTTGGATCTATAGATGGACTTTAGCGACCAGTGAAGTTATTTAGTCAGTGTGTATGATCAACTTCTAATAATAACTGCAATATTTCATTCACGAAAAATAGCCTACAGTTTTCTTAACTTGTGAATGAACACCTGTTAACATGAGTAAACAGTCATTTCTAAACACATGTGTAACAGTCAGTATCGTAAATGGACTGCTTTTAGCGGAGACATGTTATGATCACAGAAATTGTTTTGTAGCTTTCACTTACAGACCAAAACCTTATAACTGACATTCAATGATTACAAAATTACGCACTACTTGACAAATTTAAACTTACAGTGAGAAATGCATAAGTGATCAGACATCATCCGGCATCATCATCATCAATACCTACATGTACTGATCATGTGCCACTTATTCAAAACCTACTCCCAACAGCTAGTTTGTATAACTTTCATACAATAAGGGATTCAGCATCTAAACGCAGTGGAAACAAAATGGAACATGTAGTCCTTGATAATCCCCTCCTTGGAAACTGTGTTCAATTTACATCAAATACGGTATTTCAGTTCAAAAGAAATTGTATTTTTTTATTTACCATAGTTGTTATCTGGTCCATCAAAAATGTTTTGTTGAGACACTGCAGCAAATTCTTGTGTGTCAGTAACACCAGGGTATGTCTGAAACGATAAAAATGCATATCAGTTTGAATGAGAGCACTGTGACATTCAGGATCTGCCCTCGTCTCCCAAAGCTGAAGGGCATCACAGGCAGGCTGTCACCATTGTCTATCAAATGAGAAACAGAATAATATTGTGTGGTACAGATAGTGTGTAAGTTGTATATTCTAATGATAATATACTCACAATGTCTTGTTTAATAATTACGATATTGTGTAAATTATTCATGATGGTATTCATGACTTGATTAATATCCATGTCTGAATGTCAAGTAAACCCCAACTTAAAGTAAACATTTTGCAAAAAAACCCACTGAAGGTATAAATTTAGCATTTAAACCCCCACTGAAGGTAAACATTTTGCAAGTAAACCCCAACTGAAGGTAAACATTTAGCAAGTAAACCCCCACTGAAAGCAAACACTTAGCAAGTAAACCCCCACTGAAAGCAAACACTTAGCAAGTAAACCCCCACTGATGGTAAACATTTATCAAGTAAACGCCAACTGAAGGTAAACATTTAGCAAGTAAATCCCCACTGAAGGTAAACATTTAGCAAGTAAACCCCAACTGAAGGTAAACATTTAGCAAGTAAACCCCCACTGAAGGTAAACATTTAGCATTTGAACCTCCACTGAAGGTAAACATTTAGTAAGTAAATCCCCACTGAAGGGAAACATTTAGCATTTGAACCTCCACTGAAAGCAAACACTTAGAAAGTAAACCCCCACTGAAGGTAAACATTTAGCAAGTAAACCCCCACTGAAGGTAAACATTTAGCATTTGAACCTCCACTGAAGGTAAACATTTAGTAAGTAAATCCCCACTGAAGGTAAACATTTAGCATTTGAACCTCCACTGAAAGCAAACACTTAGAAAGTAAACCCCCACTGAAGGTAAACATTTAGCAAGTAAACCCCCACTGAAGGTAAACATTTAGCAAGTAAACCCCAACTGAAGGTAAACATTTAGCAAGTAAATCCCCACTGAAGGTAAACATTTAGCAAGTAAATCCCCACTGAAGGTAAACATTTAGCATTTGAACCTCCACTGAAAGCAAGCACTTAGAAAGTAAACCCCCACTGAAGGTAAACGTTTAGCAATTAAACCCCCAACTGAAGGTAAACATTTAGCAATTAAACTCCCAACTGAAGGTAAACATTTAGCAAGTAAATCCCTAATGAAGGTAAACATTTAGCAATTAAACCCCCAACTGAAGGTAAACATTTAGCAAGTAAATCCCTAATGAAGGTAAACATTTAGCATTTAAACCTCCACTGAAAGCAAGCACTTAGAAAGTAAACCCCCACTGAAGGTAAACATTTATCAAATAAACCCCAACTGAAGGTAAACATTTAGCAAGTAAACCCCAACTGAAGGTAAACATAGATCAAGGTGGTTTTGTATTAAAATGACCAAGTAATGGCCATGTCAATAGGTCTGTCATCATTTGTGGCAACAACTTGGGATGCTGGATGACACACTGATGCCGGACAAACAATCCATGACATAAGGTCACTCGTCAGTTGAGCCCAAAATTGCAAAATGTGAAGCTCATGTCCCACTGAAGGTTAAACAAAAGATAAAGGACTTACCTGTTTGGTGCGTGGAATGAGGAACATGATGATGGCCCCAATAATGGGAGGGGCACCTGCACAGTGGAATGCTATGTTGTAGGAACCAAGGTGATCATACAGGAGACCTGTGGAAACACAAGCACATTTTTGTAATGCGCCAAATTCCCTTCACAATTATCAAACAGGCATGATATAATGAACACAAATCATGTGAGGCTGTAGTATTTTCATACAAATATCCCCCAAACTAGTCCTGATCTCTTACTTTTTTTTGTTCAGTATATATTGTGGAGGCAATATTCAGGGCGGCCCAGTGGTCAAAGGCGTCAAAATCCGCCGAGGGTTCAAACCCTAAAGTCACCCTGATCATAATGCTTGACTTGTTGGCACCATAACAACATCCTTTAGTTTTATTTTCCTATTTTATTTGAATATAAAGTTGACTTGCTGTGACATATATACAGTTCAAGGCGACATGAAACCCAACTCATTCCCTGCAACATATTGAAGGTTTACTTTAGTTAGGCATATTACACACATTAAATATTTCCTTCCAGTAGGTGAGGGATGTTTAATTGTTCACATTCAAATATCAAAGGGTATATTTAGACACACCTTAAAGGCCTAAGTTATGAAATGTAAAACAGAATCATTATCAGCGGTAGAAACTAACGGTTTGAACCACTAGTCCTTATAATAACATATAGCAAAACCCTTAAAAATGACAAATGTCTACCAGTCCTTATGATACCTTAACTACTGGGCAGTTTGGCAAGGACTACAGGACTAGTGCCAAATAGTGCTGTTATATAGGACTGCATGTAGTAGAAATGCTCCCTTTTTGAGTATTTTGCTATATGTTATCATCATAAGGTGGACTGTTAGTTTCTAACACTGTACATGTATTCATTCTCTGACAACCAAGGTTTCAAGGCATTATTCAGATCATGGTTACAGTAAATAAGGGTGAGTTGCTGCGATGAACCAATCAGTTCCACAAACAATTCGCGGAAAGTAATTAAAACAATATTCAATGCAATATTGAATAAAATCATTGAAAAAGATAAAAAATATCAAGCCTGATACTGATAGAAGCATTGAACACCCTACAGGTTCTACTACACCAAATCAGAACCAGTTTGGACAATGCGGTTTTCGTAGGGAGCATTCAGTGCAGATCGAGAGATATCTGCAGGCTGTGATTGGAGGATATTCTGTAAGATTTTTATGTCTTTCAAATGTACATCCATCCAGTTATTAAAACTGACCATGTTTTTCTATATTTAGTACTGTCTTTTTCAACATGATGACTTATGCTGAATGTGACCACAGCTATTTTCAAGTAGGTGACATTTGGTGCGAAACTGGGGGTGGTGTGTTTAGCTTCCTGTACTCGGAAAAGGAGCTGGCTAAGCTAGTCATTTTTTAATTTTTTATTGCTGCTCTAAGGCCAAACTGTGCACACACGTACAGGTAATAGCTGTTGAATGCTTAGTTATTTAAAAAAAAATATATAACATTACTATAGAAGTCTATGGGAAAACATTTGGTTGTGTGTAACCTGTATAACCAGATACTGTTATAACATAACTAAAATGTGTATTTTAGCACAGATTTGTTGACCTACAAATGATCCCCTTGCTCATGCACAACAAGCAGTAACAGCAAAGTTAGCTTGCCCGAATTGAATTCACTTGTCCTGGGAGTTCGGCAATGGGATTTTGGAACCCCTGAAGGGTATTTTACATAATAGAGTACACAATACACCATCTCAAGTGTATGAGGGAGATTGGGTGAGTTTTGTATCAAGGAGGCAGCTGATTGATACCGGTAAGCCAACTCACACACTGTGAAAATTCAACGACATACATAATTATACTCACTGTCGCTTGCTGTCAAATGCTTGAAACATGTGATTGGATAATGTTCAAGAGCAAGGTCATGCATTCAAATTTGGACACATGTGGTCTAGGGCTGGGATGGGTAGCTCAGTACCTTGGTCGGGTGGGTACTGAGTAGGATTCTGGCAGCCACAGGACTACCCGAACCCGTGGTTAGTCATGTGATATATTGTCTAATCACTAAAACTATCTGGAACTCTATGGTTACACTACAAGTCATTAATGTTCTCTTTTCTTTCTGACTATGCACCCATTCCTTCTGTTTTTTCATATGGTTGAAAAAGATATAACTTAAGTCAACTTCAGTGTATGCATGACCAGAATGTTTAATACATGTATCTAAATACATTTTGCCAGGGCTATGCTAAAAATGTTCCCAATTGGACATTTTGAGACATCTCCTGAGACCTCCAGTGGGTACCCGGGTAGAGTAGGGTAGGGTAATTGGGGGGCGGGTACCTGGGTAGTAAATTTGGACTCGTCCCAGCCTAATGTGATCAGGCGACCCACTGGTGGGCGGGCTAGATACACTCACAATTGTTCAATTTCACTTAGTCAGCATTATTTAGCATGTTCAGCACTTACAAGTGATTTAAGGTACCCATTGTTACTTAGTGTACATAGTGTCAACATGTACCTGTACACTATGCTATCTAACGACTTAAACAAACTAAATAACATCATTCTTGTAATATGATTGTGAATGAAATAAAATATTATTGTGATTTGGAACAAAAGTGGCTGTTGTTTATTATTGTTCGAAAAACAAAATTAGGTTAAAAAGGATCCTGATTTTCACATAAATACAGGGTGGTCGGATAGCCTAGTGGTTAAAGTGTTCGCTCATCACGCCGAAGACCTGGGTTCGATTCCCGACAAGGGTACAATGTGCGAAGCTAATTTCTGTGATATTGCAAGGTTAGAAATTGGCACTAGTCCTATAGTCCTTGCAAAACTGCCCAATAGTTAAGGTATCATAAGGACTAGTAGATATTTGCCATTTTTAATGGTTTTGCTATATATTATCATTATAAGGACTAGTGGACCAAAATATTAGTTTCTACCGCTGTATTGCTGGAATATTGCTAAAAGCGGCATTAAAACCATACTCAGTCAGTCACATAAAAACTTGCTGAATTTATTATCAATCTGAGAAAAATAAACATCACCTCACATGAGAAAAGTATGGTGCTGACAAAGCTAGAAACAATATATTATGAAGGAATATCTTGCATTCGAACCTAACTTCATAGGTTCCTGGCACAGCGAATTACCTTAGATCACTGCTTCACCTATGCTCCCTTGTTCATCCAGATTTAATCCTACATACAATGTGTGAAGTTAGCCAGTACCAATACGATAAGATTCCTGCTCTTGAACCTACATTGTTCAGTTGTAAGGCTACGCTCGCTAAATAACAATGCTTTGACCAAGGTATAGCCAAACTTTACCTTTTTTTGACCAACGCTAGCACTTGTTAACTAATTTATGATGATGATGATGATGTTGGAGATTTAACAAGCACTTCCAGTGTTGCTGATTTCGCACTCGGGGCATACCTAGAAACATATGTCATAACCTTTGTAGTTACCTATATTCAGTGTCCACTCCAGGAATTTTCTGATATGAGCCCTTGATATGAAAATTTCAAATATTCTGGAGGTACGCCCATACAGCACAATGTTAAAATGCCCCATTGTATTAGAAAATATGGGCCTTTTTTCCTATTTAGGGGCTAAAAGCACAAGGCCACACCGTAGAATTATCCCGGCATATTTATTGAACCCCTGGGGCACAGTACTCTGGTCAGCAGCCTCCAAGTGATGTCTTAATTAAAACTAATTAGTTTCACTCATTGATTCAATCATGGATAAAAGCATTTTAATGGACATAAGAACTAGATATTGATAGTTGACATGTCTTCTGATACGCACCAGGGAAATTTAGTCTTGATTGCGCGTTTTTGCATCTAGATGCACATATATGAGTTTGAATGCACCTGCGTAACATGTGTGGGTTTCGTGGACGCAGTGACTGGACCATTATTAAATACGGAATTTCGTATCAAATGGCCACTGTTATTGAAATCAAAGCCATAAGTATTTGCGTAAAGGTATTTATTGCCAAACAAGACAGCGAAGCATGTTGATTAAAACTTCCGTTTGCTAAACCAAACCATTTTCATTATTCTCTCCCTTCTTATGACAAATACCCAAACCGGTTTCTTGACCTATATCTATTTTCGATTTGCATATTTTAATGTTCCCTATGGTCCGTAAGTTTGCTTCAGCCTATCAGGTGCTGCATATTAAGCCACTCGGATACATTCGTAATTCTTTTAGCTTGATGATTGGTCGAAAACATCACGACCTCGTGTCAAACTACAAAAATAGCCAGGCACATCAAGGGTACACTTCAGAACGTGGTAACATCCACGAGATCAAGTGACCGTGTAGGGTGGTACGCTGTATTATCGCGATAGTTAATTTATGACAGATCGTAATGGCGCACGCTTACAAATTCATTAAATATAGCATACGCAAAATGTTTGTTGTTCTTTGTTCAACTTTTATGACACATAAATTAGGAGTTTACACATGTATACTCCAGGTACTTTTCTGTATACACACATATACCCCAAGTACCTTTCTGTATACACAAGTGTATCCCAAGCACCTTTCTATATACACACTTGTACCCCAGGTACCTTTCTGTATACACATGTATTCCCCAGGTACCTTTCTCTATACACAAGTGTACCCCAGGTACCTTTGTCTATGCACATCTATATCCCAGGTACCTTTCTATATACACATGTATAACCAAGGTACCTTTCTATATACACATGTATAACCCAGGTACCTTTCGGTATACGCAAGTGTACCCCAGGTACCTTTCTGTATACACCAGTGTGACCCAGGTACTTTTCTGTACACACATGTATACCCCAGGTACCTTTGTCTATACACATGTATAACCAAGGTACCTTTCTGTATACACATGTATACCCCAGGTACCTTTCTGTATACACATGTATATCCATGGTACCTTTCTGTATCCACATGTATAACCGAGGTACCTTTCTGTATACACATGTATTTCCCAGGTACCTTTCTATATACACACATATACCCCAGGTACCTTCTGTATACACATGTGTATCCAAAGCACCTTTCTATATACACACTTGTACCCCAGGTACCTTTCTGTATACACATGTATTCCCCAGGTACCTTTCTGTATACACATGTATACCCCAGGTACCTTTCTGTATGCACATGTATACTCCAGGTACCTTTCTATCTACACATGTATACCCCAGGTACCTTTCTTCATACACATGTATACCCCAGGTTCCTTTCTTCATACACATGTATACCCCAGGTACCTTTCTGTATACACACATATACCCCAGGTACCTTCTGTATACACACGTGTACCTCAGGTACCTTTCTGTATACACAAAAGTACCCTAGCTTGGCAATATGTACGGCTTTGGACAAGTCTAGTTTCACAATGCACGAGACTGTGTATAGTCTGGCTGTCCAGTAAACTGTCGCATGTGCTGTAAGCTTGGCCCCATGTGCAACATGTACTTTCTGAAGTGACTCAGCTAGACGGCTAATTTGCATCCCTGAGTGTGCAACACTGTACAACAGTGTAACCTATATTCTAACTGAACATAAGACATAATCTCAGGATGTTTAACCCTCAGTCATAGATTTAATGAAGACACATGGCCTATTTAACATGTTTAATCCTATCTATCTGCTATACATACAAAATTGATATCTAAAATATTTCTTAAATGATCTTAGCAAAACCATGTAATATACACCACAGCATCCTAGATATTTATCTCAAGTGATTGTAATCAGAAATATCAGTCACCTGATCAAGGGTTGCAATGGGTGTCAAAATATGATATCTCAGTCTGCCTGACGCTTTTACAACACTTGTACTAGTGACCTCTAATGTCCTGGATTGTTCACAGCAGTGACTTATATATGATTGTATTGAAAGACATTTTATTGTCCTACATTTGAATAACTCATAACTCTGAACTCATGATCTATTTTAGATGTTCACATCCTGTGATATATATCAATAATTGTTACACTTTGAGAGTGATTTCATTAGGCCCACTCTGACCATTTAGCTTGTGTCAAAGCGAAAATTAATTGTACCACTCAATATCTTGATTTGTTAGGGTTCTTGGAAAAGGGGGTGGGTAGGGGATGTTTTTTTACATAAAATACAAAAATAATTTGGAATAAATTTGCGGTTCTTTATTCTTTATTTAAAAACATATCAAACAAATGATTTAGTTAACTAATTAAACGTTGAAATGATTATTAATATGTGGAAGGAGGTGGGGGGCGAAGGGTTAGTCACCCGTTCTGCATGGGGAAAAAAATTGAAATATTGATATAAAAATGATCTCATAATCATATATTCAAAAGGCGGACAACTAGCCTGTTTTCTTTGTTGTAATTGAAACTTTAGAAAATATTATATAAGTATGACTAAAATGAGGGGGAAAAAATTCTCATTAACATCAAATGAAAATCGTTTTAGTATCCGAACCAAGATGAGATTCTTACCATATTTTATACTGATTTTAGTTACATATCCTAAGAAATTTAGTTTGGGGTAAAAGAGTTGCTGATGTTCAAATACATATAGAATTTCTTTTCTGAATATCTCTAAAATCAGACTGTTTAATACAATTAAGCCTTACATAAACATTTAGTGTTGTTTAGTTCAAGACACGCAAATGTTGAAATAAACAAATCATTTTTCTCGTTCAAATGAAAAAATATGATAACTTTCATGATGATTTGTAAAGGTTTTCACTATCCAGAAAAAGGATAGCATACCTTGTTCTTTCAAAAGGTTTCCAACATATATCAAGGACTAGTGACTAAAACGAGTTGTGTAGGATATGAGAATCATAAATGCTACACAGCAGTGGCCTTACGATGATATACCCCAAGTGAGCACATGCAGTCGCAATGCGTTCCAGGCCTATTAAAATAATTCTCCATGGTCTGCACTACTGAAAAATTGTGATTGGTCCACAAAATGTTCAACAGCAATAGAAAAAAAGAATCACAAAATATCGTGATTATTAATCAATGAAGATACCTGCATGTTTGCTAATACTGATGAAGTGAAATCAAGCCATTCCGTCGATAATAAATATTACTAACAGTGATGACAAAAAATGCAAAGTGCACTTTTCAAAAAATATCCAGTTTACTAGCGATAAATATTATCAATGAGTCTTGATCATGTGATTACGATATGGGTACACTCTGGCAGTCAGGTGACTATATTTACGCTATATTTAGCTGCATGTGCAGCGAACGTACATTGCCAGTACAAACTGCTTAATATAACAGCTCACAGTCACCTGAGTGTCGATTCGTATCCAGATTGTAACCACGTAATCAAAACTGAATGATGATTTTTATTGCTAGTAACATGACAATTCATGAAAAGCGCACTTCGATAGTTATGGCATTACTGTAAGTACAATTCCTTATCAGTGGAAGGGCTTGTTTTCCCCTCATAAGAATTTGTACACATGAAGCCATCTTCTTGAAATAATCATCGTGATATTTCAATATTTCGTGATTCTCTTTCAAGTGGCAAGGACCAAAGTCCTTGTGAAACCTTAACTAATTGGCAGTTTGGCAAGGACTACAGGAGTATACACAGAGTATACACCGTCATTGATTATCCAGTTGTTTATATCACCTTTCTATTATAAATGCCCTGGACAAATTCATCATCATGGCTTTGTGTTGGAAGTGACATCACCATCTCTCTTTAGCGTTAGAAATTAGCACTAGTCCTATAGTGCTTGCCAAACTGCCCAACAGCAAAGGTATCCTAAAGACAAGTTGAAATTTGCCCTTTTTAAGGGTTTTGCTATATGTTATCAGTATAAAGATTAGTGGGCTAAAACTGTTAGTTTCTATCGCTGTCTCTTATTACCAACTTAACACAGAATTTCTCTCACTCATGGGTTTGAAATTAACCAATCAAATTGCCCCTTCTTAATAAGATCAGCATAGCTCTACATCTGCTCAATGAAAGAGCTTTCCAGAATGTGCAGGAACAGACAGTGCACCGCCATGGCCCATGAGTAGCTGAAAAATTAACCATTTGGAAACTGCCTTACCTGGAATAAGTTCTGTGTAAGTATTATCTTACCAGCAATGGGGGGCCCAACTGTCATTGGAAGACTGAATATCCCAAAGAGGAAGCCGAGGGCTTGTGAGGCACCGGTGGGACCCACAAGATCAAAGGCAATTGGTCCAAGGAGGCAGATGAATATACCGTCACAGATGCCCATGACCAGGGTGATGGCGATGAGACTTGGAAAGTTGTTGGCAAATGGAATGCACATGGTTGTCACACCCAGAATAAGAAAAGCAAACTGTTGCATTCTTATTCGGTTGACCCAGGCAAAGTCGGCGACCTTCCCAAACAAAATTCTGCCCACCCCTGAAGTGATGCTCATGCACATGACCAACAAGCTGCCATTATAACTGGGGAATCGGTCATTGGTGTGTTTTACCTGCAACAGATGATGACAATATGTCAGAAAATATTATATGAATTTTTTATCTTTATATAAATTACGATCATTTACAGTAAAATCTTCTTCATCTGGACCCTTCTTGACAATGACTCAAGGGCTGTATAACGTCACTGATAATGGAACTATCCAGATTGATGGATAAGAACTTATATCATATACTGCCATACATACAGGTTTTTTATTTATTGTTTTTGTTTAACGCTGCACTCAGCATTATTCAAGCTACAGGAAGGCAGCCTGTAAATAAACAAGTCTTTCCATAGACCAGACCAATAGCCCTCAGCTGTGTTGCCGACCTTGACCACTAAACCCAGTAAGTCACCTCTTACGGCTAGCATAGGTTGCTGGGGACCCATTCTAACCCAGAAACAGGGTGCCATACAGTATTTGGTTTTTCCTCATATTCTAAATATATACAGTCGAACCACATTCTGTCGAACCCGTGGGGACCTGGAAAAAAGTTAGAGTTATCACGGGTTCGAGACAGGACAATGTTAGGCTTAATTTGGATACTCCCATTGAGTTCAAGACAACCGGGACAATTTGACACATCCAAGTTCAACACAGTGAGGTTCGACTGTATCTAGCATTATGTTACAAATTATTTAAGGAACAAAAGTCTTTCCACTTACCAAATGTACAAATGGTACAAAATATCCAAAAAGAGAAACACCATTTGAAAATGCCCAAACAACGTATCCCTTATTTTTCCAAATATTCACATTGAGGAACTTCTTTGTCCATGAACAACAGTCATTAACATGTTCAACAATGCTTTCCTTTGAAAGAGCAAGACTTGCCAGGTTGGACTCCCTCTTTATCAAGGGCTTCCATGTTATGGCACAGAATATCAACAAAAAGTTCAGTCCTCCTAAGAAGATGAATGTATAGCGAAGTCCAACTTCTTTCAACATGACGGGGAGGCACAGGGAGAGGCCTATCGTGAACATGGAACTTCCAAAGGTGACTAGTCCATTCACCAGGCCCATATGCTTTTTAAAGTAATGTCCAAGGATGACAAGTGATGGTGCATAGGAACACGAGGATCCGACTCCTAGGAGTATTCCATACGTAAGATAAAGGAGTTGTAACTGGTTCACAAAGGCACTTGACAGCAAACCAATGAATCCAAGAAATCCACCAAACATGGCTGTCTTTCTGATTCCGAGTCTGTCACTGACAATACTTGCAAACATACACATGATGAATGTTGTACCTGTGCACACCGAACCGACCCACGCTGGAAAACAATAGCACAGATGTGAATGTAGGGTATAAAAGCTAGGGTTATTGGTAAAAGGATTCATTTTCTTCGGCACTTACCAGATAATGGTAACAAATACCGTATTCGACGTAATAAGCGCCCAGGGCGCTCTCAAAATTAGAAATAGAGGGCTCTTATTAGAATGTTATTTTGTTGAAATGTTTTTGTTGAAAGATAAATTTCGCGGTTTATGCTGACAACCTGAAATGTTTATATACGACAGATATATTTTTCCAGAATTTAACTGCCCATAATTAAGGGTGCATATAACACACAAGTGCGTATTATACGCGAATAAATCAGTCTTGTGTACATTGATCAATCGGAAGGGGTGCTAATTGGGATTGTTCACTAGCCAATATCTTAGCAAATGTCGCCGTGGGCGCTTATTAGAGCCGGGCGCTTATTATGTCGAATACGGTACTTGTGATGTAGGCAAACTAGTGAATATTAAACATCAATGCAAAAGAATAACCATGCAGTCTTGATTATCTGCTGAAACAGATTCTGTTGGGTGTAAAAGTAAAGGGCAAAGTAGTGGTACCAGTTATATATGAATGGATCACTGAAAACATAGAGGATATTTCATGTGTCGAGTGAAACATCATGTTTCTCTCATAGTGTGACGGGGGAAATATCTCCATTCCCCCATCAAGAGATGAGAGAAACATGATATTTCGCAAGACACACGGAATATCCTATTTATTATCATGATTATATACTTTTTTTATAGTTGTCTACTGGAAATTCTATTTTTTTCAATACAAATGTAAAACCTTGAAACACAAATTTTCCCTACCTAACACGGAGGGATGATTCACCATCCCTTGTAATTGCGACTTAAAATGTATCTCTGAGTTAAAATATATACTTTGATATTTGATTCTGAAACACACAAAGGTATCAATTTCTTTATTATATAAATTAGTATGATATATTTGGATAGTATTATATTGTATTCTTTTTATTATATGAAAAGTGTGTTATAATCTCTTTATGATATACATAATAATGTCATTCTTAAACTAATCAATATTCAAGATTGAATTTCATTTAAAGTGAAAGTGACATGAACAAATTGACTGTGGTTTGTTACAAATATTAGTTTTCCTAGATACATTAAGTCAATTTCCAAAGAGAAAAAAATTGTGAAAATGTATTTAAATGTCTAAGTGAAAGTGCTGAAATCACACTCTCTATAATCGGACTCCAAGACAAAACTATTTTTCAGCGTGGTCTAAAGGTACCGGCACAACGATGCAGCGTTGAGTGACAAATGTTTTCACTGCCTGATATGAAGACTTGGTTCTAATGGTCACATTGCAGTGTAATATATTGTTAAACAACTATTTTACTAAGTGTATTACATTGTTTCTGTTGAGATTCAGTAGAAGTTCATTGCATTGTATTTGACCACTGATTAGTTGTACTATTGAATGTAAGCTGTGGTGAGGAAGTTATTACATATAGATGCTCGAATTATGTGTAAACTTCTGGAATAGCACATCTTCCTGAGGCAAGGGAATTAACCGACTTGGCTGGAATTATGGAGTTATATTTTGGCTGGACTAACGAGTCTATGGATAGTCCAATCAAAATCGCGTAACGAAATCAGCATCGGATTTGTAAACTGCCGTATAGATTTTGGTTGATTGCAGGATCTGCAATGCATGTGTACTGTCAACTTAGCTTCAACAGATATTTGTCAAATCTTTTCATGTTTTTAATGAAGGTGCTCACGTGATTTGATGCACCACGTGTAGTAACACCCCTTTTATTACAATATAGATTTGATTTTGTTGGAAGCAAATACAAGTGATATGAGAGGTGGAATCTGATGGGGGGAGGGTGTAGGAGGGACATAACTTGTAAAAGCCACTGGTGGCGCTATGATTGAGCCCAGAAATTCGTCCTACCTTTAGAAGACAGTACCACATACTAGCTAACACGTGACAATACCCTATGACGTAATTTGTAGTATTTTGTTGCCAGTCACACAGGTGAAACAATGCCCTGTGATGTAAGGGGGCATTGAGTGTGCATAAGATCCTCCCAGTGATCTATCATCTCCACACGCAATGTCATTGAATACGCCCAGCGGTGTTGAGAGTTTTGAATATTTGTTTACTAAATATAGCCTGCGGCGGCACATTTTATAGCAAGTGCTAGTTTACGAAAGCACTTTTATTTTTCATATATTTTTTATTTCGTTTTTCTCGTAATTCAAGTGGCTAAAATGGTTATAAATGGGAACTAATATACATATATTACTTTTTTGGTTCATTAATTTTCATTATTATGCACAAGAATGCAGTTTAATAGGGATATTATTATATTAGCGCTGAACACATCAAAATATCGCCAGTGTTACAGTAGGTTACCCCGAACTCTATCCTTAGCCCTTGGATCCCCTTTACGATCAATCACCCCTTTACGTTCATTAGGGTTAAGTTCCCGTTTAGTGGCTATTATAGATTCTATAGCGGCTCCTAATATTCTTCACACAAAAACGTTGAGTAAAAAGGATGAAATGGTTTTGTGTCGAATATTTTGGTTACTGGAAACTGTCCTGGAACATTCACACAAGCCATTTTCACCATACACCAGCAACACTATTTCAGTACTGATCCAAAAGTACTGTTGTGACGTCACTAGGCATCCTCATGCCTCCCTCGTTCCTTACTATTATCCACATCATCCTTACAGTGTTCCCTACCACACTTTTCTGTCACAAAAATCACCTGACAAATTATGAAATACCATGTCATTCTTGCGTTCTCGCGAGTTTGACATCTGACGTCTGACGCCTGGAGCTGTTTTCAGTTCACGCCAAAACGGCTCATTCCTCACCACTCGGTATCTTGTAGATTACGGAATGGGACGAGAATGCCAAATGGCATCGGGATCATTCGTAAGTGTCCGTAGAGTAAAGTCACAAGACACCATGCCGACCCATAACCTTCGTAAGTGTCCGTCACCTATTTGACCCTTTTCGTAAAGTCGTAGGCTTGACTTGGTAAATTTGCACTTAGTTTCACAGTGTGGACGTAGCTCAGTCGGTTAGCTGTCGGGCTAAAAATCCGAGGGAGCAAGTTCACGCCCGACGGATTCTCACAAAAACTGGTTGCTTGTCTTTGAGACATGTGACATACAGCAGAGATCGTCCTCATGAGAAGTTGTGGTACTGTATTCTAAAGGTGCTCCAGAAATACCAGCCTAGTTTGGCAAGGGTGGATACTGGACTTTTATAGTCAGCTAACTCCCTTGCCTCAGGAAGATGGGAATAGCATGGATGGATGTCAAGCGTTATAGAGTGGTTGAGTTTGTTTGACACTGTGTTTAACAATATTCCACACATTGTGCCCTTGTGGGGAATTGAACCCAGGCCTTCGGCATGATGAGCTGGAAGTTAGTTAGACTGTATAAGTGGAGCAGGGGCCTGCCTGTCTCACATTTTGTCTCACATTACATCAAGACCATCTTTCGTGTGAAGATCACTTTTTAAGCTGGCGTTCGGCCTAGGCCTATCTCGGAAGCTTGACCACTGTTGTGGATAGGTGAATATTATTATCATTGAGCTTTTTGATATCACAACTGCCACCATATTCAGTAATTTGTACTGATTTGTAAACCTAGTTAACTGTGTAATACAATTGCTGATTGTATACCATTTGTTGGTTACACACATAAGTCTTTTACATACAGATTTCTGGGGTAACATATTGTAACACTTAACATAATGTATCTAATCCACCTTGTGATGTTTATCAGCTGTAGGATCTGCCAGGAAGTGCTCAATCTGCAAGTGTTGCTATGTTTGTTAATCCTACGAAATATCATTGCATACAATAAAAAAATAAAATTGATACACAGGACTAAAGTGCAAATTTACCTTATTTACACACTGCTTTCGCATTTTGAATACAGAATTTTTATTAACAATGTTACATTCTATCCAATATTGCAAAGTTGTAATTACCCCTAATGATGGTACTTGCACTTAAATGAGATAACGTTTAGAAATGTCTACAGTGTTTGAGTGAGCTACCTTATTTATCCTATAATGGCAAATGATTTGAAGCCATGTTGTCTTCAACACTATTCACACATCTGAAAACCCTATCTATTGGGAACGTTAGTCAATCGATGTATGGAGATTAAAAGTAGTTCCACTTCCTGCCAAGTGACCTCAATTGCATATTTATCGATTGTGATATCAGGTTTATCAGATTGGTTTATCGCATCGATAACTTAATCCATTATATGATAAAATGTTATTATGTACATATCATGATCAAAAAAAGTTAGGGATCTTGAATATTTTTATGGATATCTTTACGTGGTAAAGACTTAACTGCATAAAAATATCCCCACAAAAATTCATGATCCCTTACTATTTTTTGTTCAGTATATGTGCTTTGTTGTTGCACCTGTCATCTGTGTATTTTAGTGTTCTGTTAGGTTTGTTAACATTATAAAAGTGCCCAAGTACGTGCACCATTACACGATGACGTCACGTCACCCAGCATCAGAAGTGACGTCATCATCATGTACCTTGTGGCAGTAGGAAATATAGGATCGCTCAAACTACACGTTTCTAGATGTTCGTGCCAGTTCAGGTGCGGGTTGTACAAGTACACTTAAAAAAGCACACAAAACTGCTAATAACATTCAGTATATACTAGGGCTGTTACGATTCACTCGCGTATTTGGTGAATCAAACCGTATTCATTCATGAATTGAATTCGTTATTCATGGCCACTAGAATCGAAAATTTATGTACCCGGGTATATGCAAGAATGTGCATTTAAATAAAAATATCCATAAGAACATATGATCTGCATAAATTTCTTCAAAAGACAACACTCTTATACTATTTCATTTGACAGTATTGTGGTCACTGGTCATTGTCACATTTGAGCAGATACTAGAACCTGGATAAGTGCATTATATAAATGTATAACATATTAATAATTAACAAACGATGTCAAATAATTTATGTTGTTATTGCTTCACTGACTATAACAAATAATACATCAGCTGCTGACTTGTTATTGTATTCGTGAATTAATATTTGTATTCGTTACCCTTGATTCGTGATACAAATCATATTCGCCTCATAGTGTATTCGTTGCAGCGCTAGTATATACAGGGAGGAGAGTGGATATTTTCCTTTTCAGCTGAAACTTTTCAATGGAATATGATCCATTATTTGGGGGGGGGGGGGGCCTGAAGCCATCAGATTTTAATAAATTTGTAGTCACTTAAATCCGCGGAAATTTACAGATCTGAGGAAAATTCTCATCCCTGTATAAGTGTATATATCTCTACATTTTGTGTTATTGAAAATTGTCTGACACACACATGATAAAAGAACACTCCCTGCCAACAATTTTGTGACTTCATAAAAACCATATTACATGTTTATTTGTTCATTTGATTCTAAATGACTAGATAACATTCAACATGAACTTTCATACACTAAATGGAACACAAACATTTCACAGCTTTAATCGGAGTGACCTTTGCACTGTACAGCCACAAAGTGAATTCTGACATTTCCTTTTAATTTATTCTTGGTGGTGTTAGAAATCAAGGGCTTTATGGGCTCTTTGGGGTTTTTGCTATATAATACTTGAATCTGGAATCCCAAACTACCCTTTGGCTTTTATCTGTTCAAAGACGTATCGTATATAAGTCTTTGATCTGTTTAAAGGCAATGCTGTTAATTCCACAACGTTGCTTACATTGTCATAGAATTTATAACTGTGTTTTATAGTAATGAGTCCTATATGGTTACTAAGTGATAAAACTGGTGTCATGTGAACAACAAGATTTAAATTGTGAAGTATTTACATCAAGTTACTTAAAGTCTTCCAGGCATATCATATCGCTCCATGGCTTTTGTCAAACACTGATTGGGTCGGATATGGTCTCCAGGGTGAGGTTGGGTTGTTATTGCTTTGACCAATTAATTGACCCACACATGAAACTCTCATCAAACAAGATTATTCCAGATCGTGGATTTCTTGCTGATACTCTGATCAAGTTATGTCTGCACATGTGACTGTTGTGTTAATCACTGGCTCCAGCCTATCCCCCACCTTTGTGATGTAAGGCTGGTTATGTCACAACTGCTCTGTGGGAAGCCCTCAAATTGGACTTGGCCTGTTTCAACATGTGTTCCACATTGCCTCAATGACTATACAAACTCCTTGATTAAACAGATTTTCAAAACTAGTCAGCCAAAGCTAGGATCTTACAAAATAGAACTCTACACTCCATACCAGTTTGTACCTGACATTTCACTAGATTTTAGTCTGAACTTATCGCCAATTATTCACAGAGATTAATGGACTAAAAGTAATTTAACAGGTCTTAAGATTAGGGAGTAAATCTGTCATTGTCAAGTCTTGTAATTAGACTGGTGAACAGTCACATCTACCTGACATGATACAACCTATAATACAGGACAAGTTTGTAGGATTGCGTATATATTTTGGACACGGAAATGTGATCAGAACAATGTGATGCATTGTACTAAGTGAGAACATTAAACCTGTTAAATTAGGCAAATTCGTGAATCACACTACCAAGCTCAATCATACAATACAGGCAATCAGTCTGTGCCAAAAACCTCTTTTTTTAAGCATCTAGTCCGAACTTGTCTATAGACTACATTCTCATAGCTTCATATATGTATATGCTTGACTAGACTAGAGCATCTAAATATATATTGTGGCTAAGGTCACAGACTGATAATATGTACATAATATTCTGAATCACAAATCGTTTATTTTACTCAAATGAATATAGTGTCACACTGCTGCTGATAAACATATATAGTGCAGTAGGGGATCTGTTTTGTATGTTTTAAATAACATTTGTTATTCTGTTATCCAATCTTGTATCAACATTGTGTTACGTTAATGTTATCTTACATAGTATGAGCTATATTGTGAAAAGAAATCAGAACGCATAACTTTCACAATCTCATTAAAATCAGATCTTAGTTCTCACCACTGCGAACAAAGGTCTGAGGATATCCCAATACAGGTCACGTCAGAACAACCTTTTTGCGAACTTTGTCTTACCAGTGAAATGAATAACAAGAAGTCTTCATTAGCGAATCAGCTACTTTTTAGAGCTTTACGGTACCTGTTTCAAACTGTTAATTTTCATTCCTGACAACGCTTTGAAAAATTTCGTATTAAAATTTGAAAACTGAACAACAGAAAATTCTGAAATGTCTAACTGTTGGCTGAGATTGTATGGCAATACTTCCCATGGGATAAGGAAAGTCTCTTCCTATCAAATGTTTATTTCATTGACGATGATTTAGACGGAATCAGTTGCACATCTGTTCAGAATACCCTGTGTTAACCTTCAAGGTTGCATGAATAGAAAACACATTCCGACTTTTGTTTCCCGATCTATTAAGCAACGCTCGGTTGGTCAGATGAAAGGTCGTTCTGGTGTGACCCGTAACGGGAAGTCCGCAGATCTGTGTTTAACGGTAACTTTATTAAAGATCTGATTTTAATGAGATTGTAACTTTAATAATGCGAGCAAAGACCACTCGCATTTTCCGCATTTAATTCACGCTCACGTTAATTTCATGTTTTACAGTTTATACAGTAGGGCTGCAACGAATACACTATTAGGTGAATGCGATTTGTATCATGAATATAGGGTAATGAATACGAATATTTATTCACGAATACAATAACAAGTCAGCAGTTGATGTATTATTTATGATATTCAGTGAAATAAAAACAAAATAAATTATTTGATATGGTTTGTTAATTATTAATTTATTATACATTTATTTACTGCACTTATCCAGGTGCTATAGTATCTGCTCAAATGTGACAATGACTAGTGACTTAAATACTGTCAAATTAAATATAAAAGAGTGTTGTCTTTGAAGAAATCTATGCATATAATATGTTCTTATGGATATTTTAAGGGTCAGGATATGTAAATGCATGTGACTGCATATTTATAAATATTCGATTCTGGTGACCACGAATAAGGAATTCAATTCATGAATGGATACGGTTTGATTCACCGAATATGCGAGTGAATCGTAACAGCCCTAATATACAGTAATTATTAATATTTATACAGTAAATACCTTAGCTAAAAAATAGTTGAAACTAAAGATTGTTTTATAATAGTTACTAGGCAACTATATTCCACTTCTACCCTGCTGTTAGTTAAGTAGATAGGTCTAGTAGAATTTTTTTTAGACATCTTCGATATTTGAATGTAGTACATTTCCTAGATTTCAATTGTCGAACATGACTTTGAATAATTGACAAGGAGGATGAACACGCATGTAGGCTTGCCTACATTCTATGCATGTAGATCATGTATTAATAAAATAATCAGATGCATACTCACATGTTTTGAAAGATACATCTGGGTCATCTTTGGCATACAAGTCTCTCATATGAACATAGACAATCCCAAACGTGTTTATAATGCCAAACACAGTTCCATTTGCCCACATTGAAGTAAAGCAGACTACCCATCCCCACCCCCCATCCGGTTGTTCGAAGTCACCCCCTCTCGCCCTCCCCCCCTCAGCGGCGGCATGCAATGGTTCATCTGCCTGGGTAGGTTTATATTTTCCCATCTTCTTCTTCTTGTCTGCCATTATATGTATCTAAGTCCGTGTTTCAATGAGAGGGCGTACGTGCTGACTTGTTCAGTGATCAGCTGGTTGCCATGTGACTTGATGTTAGCAATTATCACACACTCTCCCAGGTGATCGAGGTTGGTTTATTTCCAGACACGACCGGCCAAATGACTGCTTTGCCTGTAAAGGAAGAGGTAATAATGTATCAACGGAAAAGAAAGAGCTTGTATGAAACTGAAATTCATCGAGCCACCTGCAGGAAGGCCTAGTCACTGGGACTTTGTATCGCAACACTAAATTCAGGGTCCACCGCTTGGCTGATCTATTTCATCAAGATCGTCGAAATTAACTTCAACAAAGTGTCAATAACTATAAACCTACAGTTCTGTACAGTAGAGATACCTTTTCGTGATGGTTTCTGTCGTTGAACGGGCGCTCACCGCGCTGTCAAACCTCCCTCAATGAGAACGTAATCTAGCAGACGATGTACTTGGGGTCGGCAAACCAAAGGTCAAGGTCATTTATTGTGGCTATGGACGCGAAACTGCGAGTTCCAACAAATTGAGGAAAACAAACTGTCGAAGCATAGTCACAAAGCAAGACAAATCAGCGATCACTACCTTAACAATCCCTGCAACATAAAACTCTTGGACTTAAGAATACACTGTTCTTTTCGCCGTCCTGCCCAAGCGGGACCTGAGCATCAGCATCAGCATCAGCTGATCGACTTTCGCCGGCGAAAATGCGCGAGCAGCTGAATCACTGGCACGCGACGGCTCGGCGATATAAACATACCTACACCGCATGGGAGATAATATAAGGGAAGATGCTTGACCGCAGTGACGATCTATGATAAATAAGATTGTACTTTATCACTATCAGGCCAAGATATAGATCTAGTTGGTAATATAATCGGCTCCATATAATATGTAAGGCCTAGCGTAGACAAAAGCGGTTTCATAAAAATGATAATATCTAATATGGCCAATATATCGAAGCGTTGGAATAATTTGTTGCAAGAGAACATGTATCATGTTATTTATATATAACACGATTCTATTGTGTATATATACATTATTTAGATACGTTTATGGGGCCGTATATTTGAATGAGCGAAATCACACTGTCATTTATTTATGTTACATCGATCACAGCTATCCATATTTGCCATTCACGAAGCCGTGAAGATTCCGGGGTAGAATAGGTCTTCAGCAACCCATGCTTGCCGTAAAAGGCGACTATGCTTGTCGTAAGAGGCGACTAACGGGATCGGGTGGTCAGGCTCGCGGACTTGGTTGATGCATATCATCGTATCCCGATTGCGTGGACCGATGCTCGTGATATCAATCACTGGATTGTCTGGTCCAGACTCGATTATTTACAGACCGCCGTCATATAGCTGGAATATTGCTGAGTGCGGCGTTAAACAACAAACCAACCAACAACAACATTCATGAAGTATCAGGGAGTTTTGTTTTTTATGTGCAATATTTGAGCAACATGACTCCAAGGACATCAATTATATGTGCTTCACATACTGCAACCAGTTGGGAGTCGAACCCAGATCTTTTCTATGACAAGCGAATGTTTTATATGAAACCATACACCTTTTCTAAAGGAACGAGGACGGGGATTAATCAGTTCAAAGTAAATGATTTATTTATTCAGGTGTAATGCGAATATAAGCCGAAACACATTCTACTAAACATAATATTGCATGAATACATATACATCCTAGTTTAAGACATTACACGTGAAACCAGTTAAAAAACAAGTTTAACGAAAAGGCACTTTTAAAAAGATCTTTATAACAAACAAAAGTATTGAAAACTTGTGCACAATACTTTATCAAATAAATTAAAAATTGCCTCGCCTGTTTTAAAAAGACAACAACAAATAACCATACTAAACGAACAAAAGCAAAACCATAAACAAACATTAAACAAAAAATGACAAAAATGACAGAAGAGCAACATTACATTAAGTGAAAGCATAGACCCTGTGCAGTTTGAAAATATACGTCCAATTGTATTTTATGAAAAATTTCATTTACGTAGATTTTTCATTGATGGGTTGTTTCTTTCCAGATTTAGCCAACCTTGTCGAAATTTAAGCACTTGTACCGTTTCCTTAACATACCCGTGTCGGAAGGTTGCGACATGCTGTGGGAGATAAGGTAAAGATGAAGGGGTGAACCAAGGGATGGGTGACGCATGCAGGAAGTGTTCTTCAGCTCGCGATTGACGTCGCTCAGGCCACAATTGAGGTGTGGGTGTTTGCAAGTGATGACAGAGGTCGAGGTTCAGGAAGGACACGGTGACGACGTGATGACGCGACACGACCAGTTTCATATGGGTTAAAGTGCAGTGAGAACTGAGTAGGCCGTATTGTAACCCAGTCTACTTAGTTCTGAAATGTCATCGATCCCAATTGCGTGGATCGATGCTCATGATGTCAATCACTGGGTTGTCTGGTCCAGACTCGATTATTTACAGACCGACGTCATATAGCTGGAATATTGCTGAGTGCGGCGTGAAACAAACAAACAAACAAACAAATGTTATCCTCAGTTTTGTTTGCATGTCCAATAGATGCAGGTTCATATGTTGGAAAGCCGTGTTTACGCAATTGTTTGTTTGTTTATTCTATGCAGCTTTGAAGGCGTCCCATATAAATAATCGAGTCTGGGTCAGACAACCCAGTGATTGATATTATGAGCAACTATCCATGTCGTCGGGGTACGATGACACTACTCTACCAAGCCACCGATCCTGACCGAATACATCAGTGAAGTAGTGGATATGGCGTCCTCCAGGAGAGCGGAAGGTCGGTGGTTCAAGACCCAATATATGTTAACAGATGCCCGACTCTCGGCGTGAAGGGGATACAACGAGGAATAGAGTTAGTATATTGTATCTGAGAGGGATATCCATGCACCACCAAGAACCTAAAGGAGTAGTTCATAACTGGGGACTGGGGACAATCCTACGTAGGTGAAACATCCCGCCCCATCAACACCAGAATCAAAGAGCACAAAACCTCATTCCGGGGAGGAATAGGTCTTCAGCAACCCATGCTTGCCGTAAAAGGCGACTATGCTTGTCGTAAAAGGCGACTAACGGGATCGGCTGGTCACGCTCGCTGACTTGGTTAACAAATGTCATCGATCCCAGTTGCGTGGATCGATGCTCATGATATTAATCACTGGATTGTCTGGTCCAGACTCGATTATTTACAGACCGCCGTCATATAGCTGGAATATTGCTGAGTGCGGCGTTAAACAACAAACCACCCAACCACAAAACCTCAACCATCAAATCAGCCATCTCGGACCATAACAGCAACCGCCCCAATCACAACATCAACTGGGACAACGTCTTAATCCTCTCCAACAACCTTCATGGTTTCACTAAAAGAAATCTAACAGAAGCAGTCTGCATTCGCCGCCACAAGCCATCAATCAACAGAGATCAAGGCTATTTCATCCCATCCGCCTACTATGAACTCTTTAAGCAATAATCACCCTACCTATTTAATCCTTTTACATGGCTTCCTGTGTTATTGGCTTCCTCATCATGTGTTTTCTGTTCATCGTGTTGTTACAGTTTGATCCTTCTGTTGTCATTACTTAACCTACTCACGTTAATCTCTCTGATGTATGCAATTGTTGTTACTGTTAATCCTCCACTTCTATATATACTCTACACCATGCTCAATATTCAGCCTTGCTTGACAACGGTATAAGGATCTATACCGAAACATCGCTCTACATTAAATAACGTAAATGTTATCCATACATTATCTCCACTTGGAAAGGCATGATGTGTGAAACAAAAAAACAGCAACCAACAAATGGTATACAATCAGACATTGTATTACACAATTAACTAGGTTTACGAATCAATACAAATTACTGCACAGTAATTACGACAGTATGCTATAGAGTGGTAGGAGAAAAAATCAATGGCAGTATAAAATGTGAGAGCAGAGGAAATGACAAAGGCAAGAATAATAATTACCGCGCCGCAACAGTGGTCAGGCTTCCGAGATAAGCCTAGGCTGAACACCAGGACGAAGAGTAGTCTTCACACGAAAGCTGGTCTTAATGTAATGTCAGATGAAATGTGAGATGAGTAAGCGACGCGCCTGCTCCACTTATATGGTCGACCTAGATTCCAGCACTTTCCACACAGTGCCAGACCAGTGCAGTGTCAGCATCTAAATGTGGTATTTTGCTACATATAATATAATATAAACTACATTCCTGACAACTAATCATGTCCAAATACAATACAATGAACTTCTATACACTGCATATCGACGGCACAATGTAATACAGTTACAATAATTGTTTGATAATAAGTTATGCCGCCATATAGCACATTGGAAAACATAGCAATGTAATGGAAAACTGCTATATCTTATTTCACAGACACCACTTATATTGGCTTCATATATTTCATTTGTGCATTTAGTATGTTTATGTTTAGCACTATCTTACATATAATCTGATATATAACCAGCTGCTGTAAAGTTATTACCTGGAGAGGTATTTACATAAGCAAGTTTTGCTTGTTTACCGATCCAGATTTCTTTTGAAATAAAAATATGTTTAAACCATATAGCACATTCTACATAAGATATGCCAAGAAATACACGAAGAAATTTAGATTCAAGGAAGTTACACAAGGACATATACAAACCTGAACAAAAGCTACGCACCTATCACTCAGGGATGTGAAATCTCCGCGGAAACGCGGAAAATCGCGTTTTTTAAAACAGTAGTCCTCGGAAAAAATCATCTCCCGCGTAAAAATTTAATATAATTTTTTTTTAAAAACACAACGAAAAATATGATCGAAAACCGGACAATTGGCGCGGATTGTCCTGTTTTCGATCAGAGCTTTCACCAGCACATGTTTTCGGACATC